AATCTTGTTTGTGGCCATAATATAGATTCTGTTTGAGGGGAGTAATTTGTGCGTACCAACCATAGGATGTGCATCTATGGGGGGGGGGGGGGGGGAGAATGTATAATTATCTTAGGAGTTCTTAGAACTTAATAAGGGGGTCCTTAATATGAAGCTGGAAGAACTTGAAGAAATGTTAGACATAATGTCTTGACATCTTTGTATTGAGAATTTATTTTTCTCAATATGTTCACTGATGTTTCTCATAAATAGGATGGAGGTTGTTTACTCAAACTTGATACACTATCATGTCTATGAGAGCATGGAACTCTTGTTTTGTTGTAAGATAAATTTAAGGGTTATGTGAATTGCAGATGTATCAACTTGAGTTCAATGGTTGATTAGTGTTTTCACTTTGGAGTGTCATCCAAACCACCTAGGCTGAGCATTTCAGTTTTTTTCGGGAGCAAAGAGAAGTTGTTGGAGTTCAGTTATGTGATGTCCTCACATGATGGAACATTTGTTTTTGCAAGGATTGAAGGGAATCATTATTTTTTGAAGGATTGGGAGAAGTAAACTTAGTCTGAACAGTCTGCTTATGGAGTATAATGATCATGCAATACTCCTTGTGTTTAGTCTGCTCCATATACCTTTTAGAGGGAATCTCCTCTTTAGGTGCAGAAGGATGGTGTGTACCACCTCAAAGTCAGACAGGAGGTTTGTATATTGTGCTTATAAGATAAAACTTCTTGAGGTGTGTAATATGAAGATTATTGCATGGATTCATGATCTGGTCTTGGGAGTTGCTCAGTTGTTGTTTAGTACCATTATATGTTCTCTTGTGTTATCCCTCAAGAGACATGTTTAAATTACTATGGGTGTTATCTCCAGAACCATAGTAAATGATGGAATCAATGTGACTGAGATTGATGTCTGAAAAGATGATGGAACATTATCTCAAGTGTTTTTCTCTTCAGAGAAGGAAGCTTGTTTTGAAGATCATGGTGTGAGTATTATTGATCACCATTCGACTCCAAAAATGGAATGCCTGGCCATGATGGAGTGTGAAGTCCAGTCTCTGACCAAGTCTAAAGATATATGTGGTATGGATGTCTATCATGATTGTCATCCCCTTGTGCTAGGAGTGTTAAGAAGAAGGATGTCATGTCAATGGTGCTAAGATTTATGGAAAAGTAGCATCATCTGTTGTTTATGTGTGAGGAAATTTTCCTCTAATGACGAATACCTTGTCGAGAGCTGGGTATTAGTCTGATATGGTAAAGATGTGCATTTGACTGATGGTAAAAACCTTGTAGAGAGCTGGGTAATTATCTAATATTGGTGCAAATTTGCATTCTGAACTCTTTGCTTCAGAAAATGTTTGAGAGTTTATTTCTCTCTATGACATTCAGGTGTTTGTGTTAACCTGAATAAGATGCAGAAAGTGTTATCTTTTGAGATCTTCTTGTGTGAAAGGACATTCTAGTATAATGAGTTCTTTGGATGATGAATCAAGAACCAAATGATTAGGTTACGTGATGTGAAGTTGATGTCCTAAATGATGTTGTAACAACATTCTTGGTCATTTTTCTTGGAAGATGCTTGGGTTGTGCATGTGGAGTATGGTGCATAACATAATGTCAGAAGAAGAATTCCTAAGTAGGCTAATTAGGATGTGATTATTCTGATCTTGTTTATAGTAGTTAGTTCTGGAAAAGCATGATTGCTATCATTTTGAAGACTTCAGTAGTATCAACAATTGCTAGTTAATGGAAGGGCAGAAGAATGTTAATAAATACGGAGGTCTTCTCTGATTAGGATATTTTCAAGGTGTTTTGTCTTCTGCTGCAAGTAAATCCAAGAAGAAATTATGTCAGTATAGATCATGGGAGTCAAGTTGATAAGTTTTGGAGCCATCCATCTGATGTGTCTTAGTTAAGTGAATCAATCAGGGTATTTAGATGTACTATCAAGGAGATAGAGATTCTGGTTCAGGATTGATTTTTCTTCATTATGGGCATGTGAGAATATTTATATGTTTCCATCTGGTGCTAAAGTGGTTATGATCAGAAGGAGCATTGATTATTTATGACAAAGGGAGTTAGTACTTGTTTATGGGATACTGCTGCAATGATGCATATTTTTTTTTAAACTTGCGTGTTGATCAAGCTTGTGGAGAATTTATGCCTCTTATGAGGTTATGATGTCAGAAAACATGTTGTGACATTGGGATGCTGAACATTGTTATGGTTTGTGCTCATTAAAATAGCATGGTTGGTTCTAGCTTGGTGAAGCTAGTTGTTTGAGTAATGTGCACACATGCTTCTTAGGAGGAGTATGAAGGGATGTTTCATTTGTATCCGGGAGAATTTATTTTTCTCTACGGTGTTTTGGAAGGGCTCTATCAGAGGTTTTGGTTGAACGGGATTTGTCACGTGTGATGGTCTTGATATTTTAACTTGTGTTGGCCAAAAAGAGTATATGTAGAGACCAGTGGAAGACATTGTGTTTATGCTTCAGAACATGAATATTTCTATGAAGCATCTTAGTTTTATAGTTGAAGATGTATGGTCAAGTTCCTCTTAAGAGAAAGAAGAAAATGTCTGACTGGATGTCAAGACACTTTTTAGGACATGGAGGATGGGTAAAACGAGATGTTTAACCTTGCATGTGAATGTATTGGAATTATGAAGACAGTCATAATCTGGTTTTGATGGTGCATTGTTATTGGTTATCTCCCTCAAATAACATTCTCATTGACTAAGACTATTATTACATAAAAGAACTACTTAGTTATTTAAAGAGGTAAATTCTTCACCTAGTTCATCTTGTGGGGGTTGCTTTTTCTCTATTCTTATGGGATGTGTCCAGATGTGAGGGATTTGTTTGTCAACTTTTAGCCAAAAAGGGGGAGAGAAGTTTTATTCAGCTGTGAGTCTGAAGTTGTTTTTGAACCAGTCTCACAAGGATGTAGAATAGACTATTCTTTTATGAGTTTGTCGGTTTTACTATTTGTGAATTATGTTCGGGATTACCCGAATTGAAGGTATTCTTGGTGTTGTTTAAAGATGTGTTCTTAGTTTGAGGGGGAGTGTACACCAAATGTCTTCAGGAATTTCTTCCCAAATTATCCTGAGGGGGTTGTAATAGATTGGTTCGGGCTGTTGTGAAGAGATATTGCATATGATATTCTGACATCAATTAGACTGAGTATATTACATCTCATTGCCGCCTTTGTCATATTATGGCTAAAAAGGAGGAGATAATATGTGTTGGACAATCATGAAGAAGTCCTTTTGTCATACCCCAATTTTTGACCTAAGATCCCACCTCCCATCTTCATTATTGCATAGCAAGTGTTCACAAGCGATTCAACCTTTTTTTTTTCCATTTTCTCGAGTCAGATTTCAAAAATTCATAACTTCTTCAAAATTCGACATTTTTAGTGGTTCTTTTACATATAATTCTCCTTGACAATATCTACAACTTTTCTTTACAAGTCAAGAGCTGATTATAATTGAAAAGCCACGAAAGAATGAAAACGTTAGAAGTCGCTTTATGAATTTAATGGAATTTGATCATGTCTTGTCCAACCTTTACCAAATCGTGCATATTACACTTTTTTTCTGTCTTTTATTTATCAATTTTGTCTTATTTAAAAAATCTAAAAAAATATGTATTTTATTTCATGTCACTTTTTACTATCGCATCATTAGAAAAATCACAAAAATATTTATAATTAGCATTATAGTATTTTAACTTCGCAATTCTTAAATCAAAAAATATCAAAAATTATTATAGTTTTATTCGCTTCATTTAGATTTATGTTTTAGTATAAAATTTAATCCAAAAAATCTCTAAAATATAGTTAATATCTTTTTCCTTTATTTTACATTTTTTTATTCTTTATAGTCATTATAGTTTTAGCTTCTTTTAATCCAATAATAATTTTGATTTTTAATTTAATTTTTAAAATTGAATTAATATTAAAGTTAAAATAAAACTAAATTTGTTTGTATCTTATTTTCATTATTATTATTCTTTTAGTTTTGTATTACTAACAAATTGCCTATTATTACTATTGTCTTTGTTTTATTGTTTTATGTCCAATATCATGTTGCAGTCCCCTACAATATCAATATAATTTTTGTGGTATTTTGCTGTCCAAAATAGCAACCTATAACAGTCCATATTTTGCCAAAAATGTTACAAATCAGTCCAAAAAACAGCAGCTTGTAACAGTCCAAAAACTGCTGTGAAACTGCCAAAAAATCAGCCTAAACCAGTCTGCTATAGCCTGCTGCCCTGCATCATAACAGCCAAAAAATTGCATCAAAATGACAACGTAAAATTGTATGAAAAAAAGGCATCAAAATAGTTTATCAAAACCATTCAAATATTCTACTATTTTCCCCCCTAAATGCCTTGTTCTTTCTCTATAAAAGCCGTCTTCATGGACAAAAAAATAGGACAAGAAGAAAAACTCAAGGAGAGGAAAAACAGAAAAGAGGGGAAGTTTGTTCAAGAATAGACGAAAATAATCAGAGTAAGAGAGGTTTGAGCATCAAGAGAACTTACTGTTTTTTTGAAGCTCCATCGGAGAGACTCCGATAGGTATTTTCTCTCCCTATTACTTCTGCCTAATTTTTTTCATATATACATCCATGTCTGCTAGATTTATTTGCATATTAATTTGCATGCTTAGATCACTGGTTTTTGCAACCTATTATAATAAAAACATAACAAATGTTATATATATGCTATAACTTGTCAACACCAAACCTAAAACCTGTTAATATAAGTTATAAGTTGTTTTATTAAAACAAAACTTATTAACACAAAAAATACCTGACATGTCTCTCATACACTTTTAATACGTCAAAAGAAGCTCAAAAACGAGCTTCTATGAGAGTTTTTTTCTCAAGTTATCTTCTCCTTCATATGGCTCTTCAACACCAAGAGATGAACATAGTTCAAAAGAGGAAGTTGGAGCTGCAAAACTTCAAGATACACTTGTTCTAATGACAAAGACAGCTTATTTGATGAGAAAAGCTCAGTTGCAAAGCTATGCTCAAAAGAACAATCTGGATCAACCGGTTTTTACATTTAAAGTTGAGGGACTACCTCATGTAATTTTCTATAAGGCTACTGTTGTTATTGGTGGGAAATCATTCGACAACCCAACTTTTTTCAACACAAGAAAAGAGGCAGAACATGCTACAAGGTTTAATTTCTTCAGCGGTGAACAATTACGGAAACACAGCGTTCATGAAAGCGTTTGTAGGGAAGATATTAAGGGACGTATGTAACAGCGAAGAGAGTTGTGGAGGAAGCATTTAGAAAAATCTTGAAAACCATTAAGCAATTGTTGGAGGATTATACGAGTCCTGTTTTTAGAGGTGATCATAATGAAGCGGAAGCCATTCAGAGGTTGAATCTTCACAAAGCTTCTACTATTGGGAATCATCTTCTATGGCCTGTGGAGAGGATGATTGAGCTTAGGGTTGCTGATGCAGATGTGCGTGAACATAGTGAACAAGAAGCTTTGAAGGATGATTTGAAGAGGGCGTTTCACGATGATTCTTTAAGGAATATTGTGTCTGGTCTTTCTGTTGTTATTCCTCATTGTACATCAAAGCTTTCACATGTTGTTTGTGCCGACACTATTTTGGCTTCTACTCAGGTGAGAAGGAAACTAGTAGAAGACTGGCTTCCTATTTTGGTTGTATGCAAATATCGTGTTTCACTCGCAATAGAAACAACGTGATAACAAAGAAGAAGAGAGAGGAAGTATAATCGGTTTAACGGATGAGAGAGAGAGAGAGAGAGGAATCCTTAATGGTGGCGGTGAGTTATGAGAGAAGAAGATGAGCAGAGGTTAGAGGAATGGATAGAAAGATGAAGATTTGTGAATAGGGTAGAGAGAATATTAATTTTTGTTTTGTTTTCACGATAAAAATAGAGAACAGAGATTTTGTTGATATTAATAAATTAATCTGCATTTTCCTTCCCAACACTCCCAGCCGCGGCGCTACTTTTACTTTAGGGTTCCAAAGATATTTCCTTGTCCCTTCCTAAATCGGGCCAGCCCCATTGGGCCTATTTGTCGAATCACACTATCAATATTCACGTTATTTATTAATAAAAGCTCATATGTAACAAATAAAATAATATAGGTTAGTGGCAAGGCCTGTATGCTGCAACCTAAGGGACACGAGTTCAACTTCATGCTGGAGCATTTTTTTTTTAGTTCATTTAGCCTTGTTTCACATTTTATTAAATATATTTGATAACAAAATATTAATTTAGTTTATATATAATTATTTCTTGCCATTATAAAATCAAAAATACATGTTTTATAAATTAGTCTTTTATTTAATTTTTGTTGTTTATTTAATCGTTAAAAAAATACATGTTATTATAAAATAGCCTTTTATTGAATTTTTTATTACTTAATTGTTCAATTGTTATTCTAATTAAATTTGTGTTCGATCACTTATCTGTATATATTTCGTCCCTTTAAATTCCAAGGGAAATGTTTTAACCTTGTTGACTTCATGTCATCAAATATATCTTATACAATTGTGTGAATCACTTCATTCATTTTTGTTTTACTATTTTTGTTAATCTTAAGTTAATTTTCCTAAAAGACACAATTTTAAAACTCACACCTTTTAAGTCAAAACTTCGACACTAGGTTGTCGTATCTTCAAAATCTCGTCCACAACCATTTTTACCAAACAAAACATTTTGACCAAACAAATAATTTTAACTAAAAAACAGATATTTCAAAAGGTTCCTGTAGAGTACCGCAGGTGCATGGGTGCTAGTACCTTCCCATTGTATAACCAACCCCCTAACTCTAGATCTCTTTCAAAAAATGCATTGTATTTTCATTACTTTAAGTATTACTTTACATTGCATATTTAAGGGTTTTATTTCTCTCTTTCCCCTTTTCCCTTGTAAATAATAAAGCGCAGTGGCGACTCTTGCTTTTGCGAGTCGAGTTAATTAAATATCTCCGTCTCCGATTTACACCGCTACATTTTTTTATCACTACAGTATTGGCGACTTTACTGGGGAAAGATTGACATCTTGCTGGTCCATCCCTAAGTGGGTTAAGCCTAATTTTTCATGTTTATTTTTATTTATTTGTTTGTTTGATTATATGTTATATTGTGATTATTTAGGTGTTGATGATACTTACGAAGGACAAGTCCTATACCTGGACTAAGTTAAACTTAAGAATAGGACGGGTGGTATAGTCATGTTAACTTTAAGAGAGTAATCCCGAAGAAGGAGGAATGAAATTCCTCACTCAGTGGAATCCACTTTGAGTGTAGTATTCGTTTACCAAGTAATCAGGAAGATGTTACTGCTTTCGACCTGGGAGCCAGAGAACCTGAGAACCGTAGAACCCTTAACCCATCTTGGACTCTTAGGTGTAGTGCGGAGACTATAACAGAGTAATCCGGAAGTAGTTTTCACGCGATGCTGCACTCTGACGAGTTTCTCTTGAGAATATTGCTAATTACCGACTAATCAAGACATTGGTAATATCCTAAGGAGGATCGTAGACTCTGGGAACTTTTAGAACCTTGTTTTACATGTGCGATTAAACCTTTAGTACATACATTGGGGGTGCTCTTTACCTTTGACTCTATGCTCGTAGAGTTGAACCTTTGAACCCCCATCTTTGTAAACTGATGTGTAATTGTTGCATTATCATTGATTCATGCATCCATAAGAATTCTTTAAACATGTTTTTCAAGGGAACTTAAGAATGATTTGTGTAGACATATCATGTACTTTTACTATGGGTTTTGGGAAAAGAAACACTCGGAGTTACAGTTTCAAGGATCCTGAGATTGAAGAGTTGAAGAGTTTGATTCTCAATATTGAGAACCTTGCAGATTTCCAAAATAAATATGGATATATTATTCCTCTTATGAAGCGCAATATGAATGAGGGTATCCTTACTACGTTATTCCAGTTCTATGATCCGTTATATCGATGCTTCACTTTTCCTGATTACCAGTTGATTAACACTTTGGAAGAGTATTCTTATATACTTGGTTTACCAATCACCGACTGTGTTCCTTTCTCCTATTTAGAAGGGGAACCTAAGTCTCATGAGATAGCAACATTTACCCACTTGAGGAAGTATGAGATAGAAGATAACATGACTCCCAAGGGAGGAATCAGAGGCTTACCTACACAGTTTTTGTTAAAGAAACAACGTTACTTCACCGAGATAAAGGATATTATCGCCTTTAAGCTATCTTTGCTTTGCTTGTTTATGGGTTGTTCTTGTTCCCTAACATCGATAAGTTCGGGGATGTTAACGTCATTAGAATCTTTTTGATTGGAAATCCAGTCCCTACGCTGCTAGGAGATACCTTCTATTCCATCCATCTTCGGAATTCCTACCAAGGTGGGATAATTATCTGTTGTGCACCATTGTTATACCAATGGTATGTTTCCCATTTACATGGGTATGATGTTTTTTAGGGTCTCAAGAAGGAGCCACGATGGGCGCCAAAAATTATGGCTCTTACTCCTTCCGACATTGATTGGTATAATCAAGCTTATTATGATATGAAGATCATTGATAGCTATGGTATTTTTCCAAATGAGCCTCTTCTTGGTATGAGGGGAAGAATTAACTACAATCTTGTTCTTGCACGCCGCCAGTTTGGATACCCAATGAAGGACAAGCCAAATAACATTCATCTGAGTGGTTTCTTTCTCCAAGAAGGAAAGGATCACAAAGAAGCTAAGATGGAGATTGAAAGGGCTTGGCGTCATGTCCATAGAAAGGGAAGAGACATGTTAGGGAAGAGAGGTGTTGTTTCTTTGAGCCTTACCTTAAATGGGTTCATACTAAGGCTTGTACTCTCAAGATGACTTATTATCTCAAGAAACCTTTATTCCCTATTGCTACACCATCATCTACTGCATTCCTATTGTGAACATGAAAGAGTATCGGGAAAATCTGTCTAGAAGGGAGTCTGAAAGAGATGCTTGGAAGGAAAAATATAGTATGTCCGAATACAAAAACAAGGCCCTGACTTGACAACTGAAGGAGAAGGAGGATATGCTATTTATTCAAGATGGTTGGTTTATTGATCGTAATGAGTAGCTTCATCAGAAAGATACGTTGCTCAGGAAATATGCTAAGGAAAAGACGAGAAAGAAGAAAGATTTGATAGGCGTTCTCCTGTTCCTAATCCATGGAAGAAAGTTGTTGATCAGCTGGTAGCTGAGAAGACAGAGATGGAGTACTTTTATGAAAAGAAGATTAGGAAGCTCAAGTTACAAGTAACATTTGGTCCTTTGTTAGATGATGATTCTGAATGATCTTAGTCCCTAGCTTTTATTACTTATGCCATTTTGTAAAACTTTTTAAAGGGATTTTATTTTCCAAAGTTGTAATTTTCCGCCTTTTATTAATGAAATGAGTTTTGTTCCAAAGTTTTTTACCATTGATGTTTGCAAAGTTATCAAAGCCTTAAAGTTCCTTGAAGAACTATCAAAATAAACAATCATTTGCATCACATATAATGCATCATTCAACATTTAATCTTACATGTTTTCTAGAGTCTTATTCTTGCTTCTTTTTCCACTTCGATAGATCATCAAGCTGTTTCACCAGTATAATACTCGACCCAATCGTCGAAAGAGAATGGAAGATCTAGAGCAAGAAAATCATGAGCTTCGCGAGGAGGTTACCACTCTTCGTACTGGATTGGAAAAATTGACTCCTTTGGTGGAAAGTTTGATGGCTACTCAGAATCAGCCATCGAGTTTGGCCATTGAAGATCAAGCTCAAACTACTGTAGTTTCGGAGGTCATCACTACTCCAGAATCATTGGCTAAAGATAACCCTCCGCAACATCAAATGCCAAAAGGTTTTCCATGGTGTATTCCTTACAATTTCACGCCAGAAGGGTACCAGCCTACTGTGCAACCCATTATTCAACCTACTGTATCTTTTCCTCAACCTGGATAACTATTTTGCAACATGTTATCCAGCCTATGGTATCTTTCCCTCGGCCGATAATGACTACTTATGCTCCCGTGGTTCACATTATTCCTTATTCAAATGAACTCAGTTATCATGTTGAACCTGCTGAAAGTTTATGCATCTTCGATAGGATGGAGGAGTTCCAAGACCAATTCCAAGAAATGCAGAGGGAAAGTAGAGCACTTAAAGGGAAAGACTTGTTCGAGAAGAATGCTCATGACTTGTGTTTGGTCCCAAACGTGAAAATCCCATCTAAGTTCAAAGTGCCAGACTTTGAAAAATACAAAGGTGACTCATGTCTGCAAAGTCACTTGGCCGTGTATGTGAGGAAGATGTCCACCTACACTAATGATCATAAGCTATTAATTCACTACTTCCAGGATAGCTTAACTGGTGTCGCCCTGAAATGGTACATGGGTTTGGATATCACCCGAATCCGCAACTTCAATAACCTCAGTGAGGCTTTTGTTCGTCAATATAAGTATAATGTTCACATGACCCCGGACAGAGATCAACTTCGAGCTATGTCCCAGAAGGATAGAGAATATTTTAAAGAGTATGCCCAAATGTGGCGTGAAATTTCTACTCAAATCAATCCTCCCCTCAAAGAAAAAGAAATGACGAAGATTTTTCTGAAAACATGAAGTCCTTTCTACTATGAGAGAATGGTCGTAAGTGCGCCTAGTGACTTCATTGAGACGGTGAATGTGATACGGTGGCAGAACCGACTGTTAATACTA